CACTCTCCTGGCAGCATTTCTCTGATGACCCTTGGACACCAAACATGCTTCTTTGGCAATAGGATTTAGAAAGCCTGCCATAGATGCCCAAACTCCAGGATTCTGTTCTGTAACCTCCTGAGAGGCTACAGCTTTTTTGCCGCAATAATTCATCCTTCAAGGTCCCCCAAAACAGAAACAAATCATCTGTGTTTAGTCCTTTTCAAGGCATTCCTTTATTAAAGAGTAAAATACAATCAATCTTTGCTTTTGTAATTTCTCCTGTGTAAGAGGGAAGGTAAATAAAGAAATTAAAATTCAAAGTATAATATTAGATATATGGGTTTAAAAGGTAGAGGCAGAAGTGCCTAACTTTTCTTTGGGTTCTGGAGGAATGGGTCAGGCGAGATTCAAAGAACTTGAAATAAGTCTTGAAGAAAGAATAGGAGTTTCCCTAGTGAATAAAGAATTAAAACACATTCCAGGTATGCAATCGTTCCTTATTAATTAAACAACTACCTACTGAATATTTATAATGTAAGTGATACTATTCTAGCTGTTGTGGACAGGGTAAGTAGCAAGATAAAAGACTCTTCTGCTATCTTGTAGATAGAGGGTTGTGCAAAGAGCTATGAAAGAGCAGTGTGTTGTCTGTGTTCTTTTTGTGTGTCTAGGTCACTTGGGCTTCCCACCCATCAGGCCATCTTTCATGGCGAATTTTGCCCATGACAGCGATCACTTTCCTAGAAATCTCCACCAAAGTAAAGTGAGAAAATATTTATTTAATGTCTAATTCTCACAACCACCCTAATCTCATTTAGAAAGGAGGAAAACAAGGCTACTCATCATCAAAAGAATTGCCCAGGGTTGTAGCTTAGTAGGTAGTAGGGCCAGGATATTAATCCAAGCATTTTGATTCCAGAGTCTGGGTTCTCAATCACTTACCATATTTCCACCAACAAACATTCCTCCACTGCCTCTTCCAATTATACCAGTTTCCCTTCACTCCCCAGCATCCCTGTCCACAAAGCCTCATTTTACTTTCATGTCTCCTCCCCTGTCCTATGCTGATGTACAGTCTTAATGGAGGGGACAATCTGCCAGAGAGGTAGGCAGAAACTGCTCTCTAGTCTCAGGAATGAGAGGATTGAGGGGAAATGAAGAATAAGGGGATTTACTTCCAATCAGAAGTTCCTGCCAAAATACCATTCTTAGGAAAGGAGTGTGACAGTCCCACATACACTAATCAGAACAAAAGGCAGTTTCCAAAATCTCTGGGCATGTATTTAACAAATGCCTGCTGTTTGTCATTCCCACTAGATTATGATCGCCTTGGAACCTGTTTCAGGATCCTAGATAAAGACAAAGTCCACATCCTGTCAGTGCCAATCTCAGAAGGCAGGCATGATGTAATGCTTTTTTTGTAAAATACAAAAATATAATTAAATTTTTAAATTATTTTATTTAGATGTTTTATATCATTAGTGCAGTTATTGATTAGAAGTTTACAAGAGTTGATAATGGAAGAAATATATTTGGAAAGGTTTGGGAAACAAACATCAACAGAAAAAGTTAAGAATTGCAGAAAGAATTAATGATCATGTTAACAAAAATACCAATAATAATTACCACTTTATTGAATTAGATACTATTTTAGGTATTTATGTATGCATAACATTTACCCTTAATCCTTGAATCATTTTATGAATGAAAATAGAAAAAGACTTGGACAGTTTAAGAATCTTAACCAAGAAAAATAGTAGCTGTTTATTTCTGAATAAATAGTTACAACTGAAATTTTGCTAACTGCATATTAAAAAAGTCTGCTGTATGCTTTAGTTTACATTCAATAGAGTTGCCAAGGGCATCAGTGAAACTTCATCATTACTTAGGATCCAGAATAATCTGATCCTTCAGAGCCCTGCAAAGAACACAAGCCTCTGCTAAGCTGGGGGGCTAGCAGTCAAAACATGCAGCACATACAGACTTCAACAAGCGTCACCAAGCCCCCTCTGCCTAAACCCTGCTGTTTCCAGTCTGAGTTTTCAGACTTGCCTGGCAGCCATCAAGAAACAGAAAACTGCAGACCACCTGCAGAAGTGTCAGAAGGCACTGCCATACCTTTCCTCTGACTGCTTTGGCCACCTAACCTTCCTCAATGCATAAATATAATTTACTATTTTGATTGTAAACCACCACCTGCTGCTTGCATCCCTTGCACAAAAGGCTCTCTGCTGAATCACAGTGTCTCCTCCACTTTTCCGAGTTTAAGAACTACTTATAAATAAAAATATCCAGGCCCATGCTTTATCTCTGGAGATCCTGGTCCAGTGGATTTCAGGCTGGGCCTAGGAGTCTATATTTCCTAAACACCCTCATATGAAGAAGTTTATATAAAAAGGGAGAACCCATGTTAATTAATAAGGATCCACTCACATTATTTAAAACATAGTAATTTCCAAGACTAATATTGGAATATCTGGGAAAAATTTTAATTCAACTGATACCCTAAAATTTTTATTAATTTTTTTACTTCCTATTCTGAAATAACGTGAGTAACAGAAAAATTGTGAGAAGAGTAGCTTTTGTCTGAATTATTTAAATATTGTTGCCCTGTTGCTCTAGCACTCTCTCAAATATTTTAGCATTTCCATGTAAATAACACTCTCTTATATAACAGCAACAATAAAAAAAATCTAACCAAGGAATATTAACATTGACACTTTATTACACTCCTCTCCTCAGACTCCATTCAAGTTTGTGAATTGTTCCCTCAAAATTTTTAAAATAAAAAGAGAGTACGAGTCATGTCTCTTTAGTCATATCTTTAGTCTACTTCACTCTAGAAACAGTTCCTTGGCCCTTCCTTGATTTTTATGACTTTGACATTTAAAATTACAGGCCTTTATTCTAATGACCTACAATCTGGTTGTCCAAAGTTTCCTCACCTTTAAGATTCTGGTTATAAATCTCTGAAAGGACTAACATAGATGATATCATTTTCCTCTCATTGCATCCAGCATGCAGCACATAATTTTGATTTGTCTCATTACTGGTGTGGATACTGTGATCACTTGATTAAGATAATGTCAGCCAGATTCTCCACTATAAAATTACTCATTTTCTTCCTATAATTCCCATGAGGCATAATGTCAGTTTTGTTATAAAGGCATAGAAACATGGGTGTATAATACCCACATTTATTCTTTAGACTATTTCTATTGATAAGCTATTAATTTTAATTTTATGAGTTTTATTATATTGAATAATGAGTACTTAACAAGAAAAAATATCAAAAAAGTACTGAATTTTTAATATATTGAGTGTTTATAAAAAAAAGCATCAAAATTTTCCATGGTTTTTTGGTGTACAAAATCTAAAAAATAACAGAAAAAAAGTCTATATGAACTACAATGAAAATAAAAATAGCACTATAGCAAAAAAAGTCTTTACTTCAACTATCATACCTAAAACAGTCTTCACACATAACAACAACACGTTCCATACACATGTATTGCTTACAGTGACAGTACATGTGTTTTGTTTTCCTGGCCTTTTTGTAAGACATACTTGACATCTCAATGGTCTTGCTGTTTTGTCATAAGGTTCTTACTATATTATACAATGTGTAGTTAACAGGAACACAAAATATCAGTAAAATAAAGTATTAAATTCTTAATATGTATTTTGCATTTAGAATAAACGTCAGCATTTTCACATCAGCTCTGTATTTGCTTACAAAACCTAAAAGATAACATCAAAAGTAAATTCCTTTATGAACTACAATGAAAATACCAATAGAACTCTGCAACAAAAATAATCTTTTCTTCAATTGTCACATCCAAGACAGTCTTCACATATGACAACTGCATGTTCCATGCACACATCTCACACTGACAGCAAATGTGCTTAGCTTTCGTTTCCTGTGTGACAGGCTTCTGTTTTGTTGAGGTTTCCCTATCAATATTTCTATCATGGTCCAGTGTTGACCTTGACAGTACTAGTTTGTTTCTCTTTGCCATGTACAAAGCCAATGTAAATCTTTCTGAAATCGAAAGATTGAAAAATACAATTCTCTGTTTTGAAATTGCAACATATCATTAGGAATTTGTTTTGTTCTTGCATACAGTTCCTACACCTGTCAACTTGTGTTCTGTTAGCAAATATAACATCAATTGGAAACTGGTAAAGCAACTGTCAAATGTCATTCTGATGAGTTTAGAAGATGGGAGCAACAAGTCTGTTCACAACATCATTCAGTTTATTAACACACAAATAAGGACCTGGTGGCTGAATTCCAAGATAAATTTCTAAATTAAAAGCATAATAATCCTTCGTATCTACAAGAACATAAATTGTTATGCCATATTTTGACTCATTGCTTTTCAGTAAGTAATCACATTCCTGTGATTACCATGAGAAATCCCTGCTAAGTACAGCAGACCTATGAATGCTTTCAGTTCAGCTAGTGAGGTGTCATAATACATACATTTTTTAATATGGCTATTGGTGCATACAGAATGTTTTACTTACATTTCAGCCTTTATGTATTTCACAATATCTTGTAGCATTTCATCTGTTACAATTTCCAACACTGAATGCCAGTGCTGACATTCTGTCCAATAGATTTCACCCTACCAAGATCCTCACTGTATTTTCAGACCTAGTTCTAACATTGGATCATTCTATTTGATTGTGTGACCATTTTGCAACATTTCAACTAGTCAAACATGCACTCACATTGCTGTTTTCTTCATCATTTGAATCAAGGAGGTCTGCATTCCCTTTGTATCAGTCGATTTTTGCTCCATTTCACTGTCACAGGAACTTTGACTCACATGACCAACATCAAAGTCATTATCATCTTCATCATCCATGCATGAGTAATCTGATGATTCACTTTTGACCTCCTCCAAAACTTGCAAATCTGATTTTTCATGTGTCATTGTACTGAATTAGGCTACTTCTACCAGAATAATCAAAAGAAAACTTTTTTTAAAAACAAATCCTAGGGGCTAGGGATATAGCTCAGTGGTTCCAGCGCCTGCCTCACAAGCGCAAGGTCCCAAGTTCGATCCCCCGAAAAAAAAATCCTAAATGCACAGAAATTTAGTGGTGAACATTTCATGCATAAAACTCACCTGTTACTGCTTTAGAGATCCTGTACACACCTTGCCATTTGTCTGCTAAGTGGGTGAATGCACAGATGGGTTTTTGCTTTTCCCAGGTGCAGCTACTGTGAGTCACACCCACATTCCATTTGGTAAAATACATGTTTTCATAACAGAAGTGTGGTGTGGGTATATTTTAACCCCTGTGATGCTCAGGTAAAGATACACAAAACTTGTTAGAGTATTATGTGGGTAAAAATCCCAGTTTGACACTTTTACACATGTGCACAGCTTGCCATTCGTCGTCATCAAGTGGATAAACACAAAGATTTCTTAGTATATCCCCTAGGCACAACTACTGAGCTACACAGCCAGCTACTATTATGCTAAAGTACAAATGTATAGTAGAAAAGTATGGGATGGGTTGTTGTAACCCAGTTTATGTCCCACAAGGAAGTACCTTAAGGCTGTGTGAATATCCTGTTCATCAAACTTTCAACTTATTCATTTTATTTATTTATATTACTATACACACATGGATTCCTATTTTATCCAGTGATTATAGTCCACTAATACTCTTAATCATCTTGATGCTCAAATTGTCCCTGCTATAACCAATAGAAGCTACTTTAAACTGGATTTTGTGCTCTTTAGACATGTGTATTCTTTGAGTAATCTGGGGATTTTTTGCACAAAATGTCCAAATTCATGTTTTACTTTCACTGCCCTGGCACTAGAATCAGCCAATTTTTCAAAGAATTCTGATTCCCTTTAGTCAACTATGTAGACATCAAGATAACAGATGCTAAATCCCAAGCTATTGGGGTGCTGCTGTTTCCAACCCTAGAAGTGGACAAAGATAATCACACATACACACACACACACACACACACACACACACACAATCTGTATTTATTTCTGTATTGAGAACTCTGTAATCTTACCATTCTAGTCCAACACCAGAAGATTCATTTTAGTTTTATCTATCCATTAATTATGGTTTTCTCCTGTTTCATATTTATAACTGTTTGACAATAAGAGATCTCTTATCAATAAATTTACTTACTAATTCTCTCTCCCTGGGTCCTCAATACCCATGCTGATAACTTTCTTACTCTTCTCAGGCACTAACATTGTATCCAAGCAGAAAGTTGCTATCCACAACCCCTCATCTAGCTTGGAGTCACCTTACCCACATGGGGATACCCTTCTGACCTTTAGACTATGGTACTCCATTCCAGGCCACCACTGCATCACTTCCTGTGTGTATGCTGTGTTTACTGTGCTCAGGCTCTGACATCATGCCTCATCACTTTCCCATGCAGATAACCTCTCACTCAGCTTAGGCTTTGGTCACCCAAGGCTGAGTGTCCATATATACCACCAACATGTCTATGAAGTTCAGATCCAGTTAATGACTTTGAACTGAATTGCTTAGGATGGAAAACAAAGGGAAAGGAAGAGGAAAGATGAAGACAAAGAACCATCTATTAGATTTGGATTGAGAATAGCTATAGTGGGGTTTTAGTATCTGCATTTTTTATTTGCTCCCCTAGGTAATTCTGATAGTAGCCATGTTTGAGGTTAACTGGATTTAAAACTTCCCTTACAAAAGCCTGGAGAAACAAACCTTTTAATTAAACACCTGCTATTTATTATATTAAGATCTAAGGCAAATACTTAGAAAAGCCAGTTACTATTCCTATTTTGAGTAAATGACACTTCAGCAGAGGAGCCAAGGGTTGAGAAAAAGAGCTAGAATATGTGGAGTAATTTGTAGAAATAGACACAGATGTGAAAGCTGGAATCTTTATGAACATTATCATTACCATGAACATAATCTTTTGAATTGAAGTGTGATTAGCTCTTTATGTTAGTCCATTAAAACTAGCCAGGAAGTCTTTTGAGGTCAATATCAAGTAAACAGGGGCATAATACTATTTCAGTCAATTACTTTGTTAGAAAAATTAATATATGCTACTACTGAAATTTCAGATGTTGTAGGTACTATAAAATGGAATGTTAAAATCTCCTTTAATTCCATCACCCAGAAATAATCACAGTTATAATTTCTTGTCTGTTCCTCACTTTTTCTATGCATATACTCTCAGTGTGTTTATAATTACTTATATTTTCCCCAATAATTGAATTTATGATACCACTTTAAACTTGCTATTTTTAACTTGACATTTCTTGGCCAACTTTCTGTATTAGAACCTAGAATTCTATATGGATCTTTCAAAATTTTTATTTTATTGTAATTAGTTTCTTTATGTTTAATTACACACTACAAGAATACATTCTCAATGTAGAAACTAAAAGAAAGAGATCTACATATAATTCAAGAGTCTGCCTTTACCCCCATCTAAGTACACTTTCTTTTTGAGAGCTAACCATTGTTATTTGTTGGTATAAGTCTTCATATTTTTTTCTCTACACACACACAGAGTGCATTGTGTTTTCTTTTTTCATATAGGAGATGGACAATGTTGAGTTTCGGGCCTTATTAAATTTCAAAGTCTGAAAGAGCACACAAGAAAGACTGGATTCTATCCATCATTCCAGGACATTTTTCTCAAGGGCCACCAATCTCACTTGTATTTTAGCCACTGCACACATATCATAGTCACTGGGAATAAAGCCATTATAAAGAAAGAGATATTTCAGCAAGATCCCTGCCCCTGTGATTATCTCCTCTTATGATATTAGCATTGCAAAATCAAACTGAAAAGAAAAAAATGGAAGAGGATAAGGAGGGAGAAGTATACATACAGAGTTTTCAGACCCTTGGGTGCCTGAGCCTTTACAATATAGACATCTTCTCTGTAGGGCTCTAGACTGCTTGCTGCTTTGTAGTCAGAGGGCTGGGGTTTTAACCATGTGAGGTCCTGGAAACAGTGCAAGTAATCATCAGTGATTGGAAGAGAAATGTGCACTAAGATCCAAGTAGAAGTTAACTCACAGGCATTTTAAAACTTTGTTTAGGGAGTTGGAATTGCAGCCTTTTGTACTTAATTTCTCAATAAATACGCTATAGGAACTTTGTAAGCCCCTGTGTCTTTATCCAGTGTCATTTAAGGCAATTTTATGTGTGTATTTGTACAGATTATTTGCTAACTTTTGAGAAAGAAATGATCTCAAAATCCCCTTATGTCTACTGATATTTCAAAGTAAGGGAATACTCTGGAATACTTCCCATTTTCCAAATGTAATATTTTCCAAAATAAATGTTAGAGTAACTGCATGGTTGATAGCATGTGAACGTTTTAATTTATGCAATAATATTCTGGACTTTGTGGATGCTCGGCCCTTTTCCAAGAAGTTTTGGAAGTCCAAACATTGGCTGTTTCTTCTCTGTGGGAGAAAGAGGGAGCATGTGAATCAGAATTGGTAAATTGGAAAGGAGGTCACAGGCTACATGGAGTTAAGGAAAACTGCAGTGCAATCTGCAGTGGGAAAAAAGCCAGTTGTATGAAGAAAAGAACTGGTTACCATTAAAGGCTTCAAAATGAGGGCCTCAGAGGAGAAATGAATAGGAAAGTTAACAATCCTTGTTTCTCTCTCCCAGAGGATGGGGCTGGTGTAATTAGATACAGGTGCAACCCTCGTATACCAGGGATCTCCACCCTGGTCCATTCAGAAGACCTTCAGTCCTTCAATGCTTGTAGCTCACATGCCACCCCTTCCAACAAGCCTGCTCTGATGGCCTTACTTCAGTCATCAAATGGCATCTCACTGTGAAGGTTATCAGTTTCCTTGCCTTTTTCTTTTTGGTGTATGAGATTCCTGAATCCAAGATATAAAAGACACACAATTATTATATGGTTAATATTGATTGAATAAGCCTCTCTTGTTAGAAATAGTCCCTCCCTCTTCTGAGATCCCTTGATGCATACCACTTACCCCACTCATGTAATCCTTTTTACCTCCTACCTTATACTATAATTTCTGTACATTTTAACTTCACTACTAGACTCATAATTCTTCAAGAAAGATGAGATAATGCATGTAAAGTATTAGTACCATGTGTGCAGAATAAATAATAGCTAGTATTTGTGTAATTTGCCTAGAGGACCAGAAAATATATTTTAATAAAAAATTTTAAAGCTTCAGGAAATCACATTGTAACAGATATTCTTTATTTTGTAAGAGTCACTTGGGTGAATTATGCAATGACAAGAGACCCACTGCCTTGGAATAAAGTCATAATAGAATGACTTAACTTATTATTCACTTTTTCATTTTGAGCACAAAATACTTGACATACACAATTTAAAGCAGGAAGGATTTAATTGGCTCATGATTTCAGAGGTTTCAGTCTATGGTATTCTGAGTCCATAGCAGAAACATCATGATGGAAGTATATGGTAATGCAGCTGCTCACTTCATGGTGGCTGGGAAGCAAAGGACAGGGAAAGAGCCCTGAGAGAAAGGGAGCAGGAAACAGATATAGTCCCCAAGATCATATTTCCAGGACCAACTCAGGCAGTTCCAGATGTATGCTTTACTAATGCCCCTCTTCTTCTCTTAGCCAATCAAGTTGACAAGATTAACCATCAGTCTTCAGATATCTGTTCTTTGCCATTCCCCTTGGATAGACAGCTAGGATTTAGGGTTAGATAGGGGAATCACTGCTGAGTTGCCCAACTTCCCACCACTCATACTGTAATCTGTTGTGATGATGTACTGTGAGAGTCTAAAATGTGGATGGTGCCCCTGGTGTTGTGCAAGAAGGTAGCCTTGGATAAAGGAAAAAAGAGGCTCTGACTCATTTTTGTTGTAGTTCTAGGTTATTTGACTTTAAATGGATTAGGATAGTATTCACTGAGATCTGTTAGAACAGGAGCTCCAGAGAGGCTTGCTTGCTTTCTCTCTCTTTTCTTTTCTTTCTTTGACAGTGTTTGGCCTTGAACTCACTATATAGCCCAGGCTGGCCTCAAACTAACAGCAATCCTCCTGCCTCAGCAATGCTAGGATTACAGGCATGCACCATCACACCCATCTTCCAGAGAGACTTTTGCTATAAAGGAAGGGCTGCCTTTGGAGTGCTGAGCCAACAAAGCTTCCTGACTGAGGCTGGATGCCACTGAAAAACAACAGTGGAATACACTGAGTGCATGCTTAGAAATCAGACGAGTTGAAACTTGAAGGCAAAGCATGAAGATCCCTGTAGTCTGTATAGAATCTGGAACAGCCATAGTACTGTCTAGCAGTAGATAAGCCCAGTAGATTGTGAAAGCACAGAAAGGATCATAAATAAGGTCATTATAGTTTTATCTTTTATTTATCATCATTATTAGCTAGTTTGATACCCTCAAATTTGGCACATAGCTGGCATATGATCTATAGGTGCAACCTCAAGAAGTTCACTTTTATAATAAAATTGAGATCAGATTTTTTTCAGATAGAGTCTGGAAAAAATCCTGAGTTGCAAAGTAAAACAAACTCTCAAACCTACCAAAAACTGGACCTGAATCACTGCAGGGGCACTGTAACCAAAATATTTTTCTGGGCTCCCTCCAGGACAGGTCAGAACACCAAGGTATATCTGGAGCTCTCCCCGCTATGTTTCACCTGCTGTTCTTCATGGAGGGTCCAATAAATTGATGCTGATATTTTAATTCCACTTCACAATCCTGTATAGTGTGTGCTCAGCACATGTTAATGACCAACCAGCTAGGTGGCTGAGTACAAAATTTTGATATTGAAAGAACTGACATCACTCATTATTGGTTGAATGGCAGCTCAAGGAAATTCAAAGAAAATAGTCCCTTGTGATTTTTGTGAAATAATATGCATGACTAAAAAAGTCAACCTATAATTTCATAAGAAATGTTCCTTTTATAACTTTATAACCATATAAACAGGAGTACTCCCTAGTCCTACCTTTTCTTCCGGCCCTAGTGTAATGATCAATATCTTGGATTTGAGTTAGTCAGCAATAGATTTGAATCATGTTTTGCAACTTATTAGTTGTGTGACCCTCAGCACCTCTCTTAACTTCCATAATATTTTTCTGATGTATAAAAGGGATAACAATTATACATAGTTTATAAAAGTAAATGAAATGTTATATGTCAGGGACTATGTCTAGTGCAAAAGAAACACTCAACAAATGTTAGATATCACTAGTTATTATTTCTTTCACCATAGACTCCCGTCTGCATTCTTTTACTCCTTATCTTATATGAACACTCAAACACACTAAAATCCAGTGCCCATACTCTATACACTTTAATGTTTTTTCATTTTAAATAGTTGTTTTCTTTAGTGTATATTTAAAGTATACAACATGATGTTTTGATATACACATATGTAGCAAAATGATTACCATAGTCAGGGAATTTAACATATCCATCTCCTCTCAGTTACCTTTTTTATTTTTGGAAAAGTTTTCCAGTTCTGTTGAGATATACTTGACAAATAAAATTGTATAAATTTAATTATATAAATTTAAGGCAACATGATAATTTGATACATGTATACTGTGAAATGATTAAGCAAATTGGTTAATACATCTATCACTTCACCTAATTGTGTTTGTGTGTCTGTGTGTGTGGTAGGAACTCTTAAGATCTCTCTTAACAAAATTTCAAGTATATAATAGAGTATTTTTATAGTCACTGTACTGTACATTAGATCCCACCCCTTGATAAAATTATACCTGGAAGTTTATATCATCTGATCACTGTTTCTCCATTTCCCTCATTCCCCCAAATTCTGGCAACCACCATCCTACTCTCTGTTTCTGTTGGTCTAACATTTTTAGATTCTACTTCAAAGTGAAATCATTTGTCTTATAAGTACAGTATTTGTCTTGTCTTTCTCATGCTTATTTCACTTAGTGTAACACCCACAAGATTCATCTATACTGTCAAAAATGATAGAATTTCCTTCTTTTTTTTTTTTTTGGTACCAGGGATTGAACTCAGGACCTTGCACTTGCGAGGCAGGTGCAGTACCACTGAGCTAAATCCCCACTCCAAAATTTCCTTCTTTTTATGGTTGAAAAACATTCCATTGTGCACATGTACCACAATTACTTTACCCATTCATCTATCAACAGGTACTTACAGTTGTTTCCATGTTTTGGGCTCTCTGAACAATGCTGGAGTGAACATGGGAATGCAGGTATCTCTTTGAGATATTGACTTTATCTCCTTTGCAGATTTACCTAGAAATGACAGGGTTGAGTTATATGGTAACCTTATTTATAATTTTTTGAGGAAAGTTCACCATACTGCTGTCCATAATGCAGTACTAATTCACATTCCCACCAACAGCAAAAAAGGGTTTCCTTGCCTCCACTTTTTTTACCAACACTTATTTCTTGTGTTTTTGAAAAGAGCCATTCAAACAGGTATGAGGTAATATCTCATTGTGGTTCTGATGTGCATTTCCCTGATTATTAGTGATATTGAACATAGTTTTATGTACTTGCGGGCCATTTGTATGTCTCCTTTGAGAAAATTTAACTCCTTCTTCAGGTCCTTTGTCCATTTGTAAATTGGATTATTTGGATTTTTTTTTTCTTTTTTTTGGTACCGGGGATCTAACACAGGACCTTCTGCTTGCGAGGCAGGTGGTGGAACCACTGAGCTAAATGCCCAGCCTGGGTTTTTTGCTTTTGATTTGTAAGAGCTCTCTATATTTATTTTGGATGTTAACCCCTTATCAGATATATGGTTTGCAACTATTTTCTCTGAATTCCCTGGGTTGCCTTTTCATTTTATTGATTGTTCTCTTTGCTTGTACAGAAGCTTTACAGTTTGATAGATCCACTTGCTTATTTTTGCTTTTGTTGGCTGTGCACTTTGATCTGCTTTTAAAGGTCTTCAAAAACTTTCTTCTTGCCAAGGCCAGTGAATACTTTTCATTGTTTCTCCTGCTTCCTTTGGGGTATTTGATGTAACCAAATATTGGTTTTTTTTGGAATTCTCTCCTCTCTTTGTTTCCATGACAATCCATTTTCCTGATTTTCCTAATGAATCTCAATGTTTCTTGTCTCAAATTTCTTAGCTGATTTCTTCCTCCAGTGTTCAGCCCTTACATTTCACTACTCTCAGATTTAATCCTTCACTTGTTTTCCTTTTTCACTTTGTACACTGTTACTTTTCCTTCAGTTATCATTCATAATCCAATTACTCTTAAATGTATATTTATACTTCTGACTTATTCTCCAGACCTGTATTTTTGACATCTTCCTTGGCATTGCCATTGAATTTCTTTTGGGAAACTCAAATTAGGGTATAGAAAGTACAATGTGGCCTCTTTCACTCCAAAGTAGCTCATTTTCCTGTAATCATTTCTGTTTGTGTGTCACTATTTCCCCATTCATTCAAATATATGTCATCTATAATTGCTTTGTCTTATAATACCCTGCTCCCTAACCCAGCCCCACCAATATCCATAAATTTTATTAATTATGCTAATCATCTCTCAAATATATCCTCTTCTTTCCATTTTCACTACTATAACTCTAAGCCATCACTATCTCTTGACCAAATATGGCAGTAGTATTATGTATAACTGTCTATTATGTATAACTGCTAAAATCCTTTACAGATTCCCTCTCAAAACTAGACAGAACCAGACTGAGGCTGCTAGAAAATAACAAAAGTAATTTGCTTTTTAAAAAGTAGAACAAATTGAAAATTATCTCCACAGAAAACTTGTACTCACTTGTATTTTGATATGCTTTCTTAAATGGAAAAATTTTTAAATGGAGCTAAAGCTAGCATATGGGGAATTCATATCAGCCTGGGATGTCCATAGGATCTATGCATGTGAACACCATTCACCATGTATATTGTAGAATAAAAGCTGAGAATTATGGCCTGTGTCACAATGATCACCAGCTTCTAAGAGTTCAACCTCTCCTTTGCCAATACACAGTCTTGCTGTGATCAACGCCCAGGGACAATAGAGGTCTGTTAGTCTGACTCACAATAAATAAAATTTGCATGACCCCAAAAATGGACATTATGATGCTTGTTTAATAATTGTCAATAGGAGACTTTTGGAAAAAAGCCAGAGCAGTAAGCAGCAACAAATCAACCTCTATAAGATTTGGAATCCAGATAATGGAAAATAACAACTTGGGGAAGAAAAGGAGGGAGGTGGATTCCTGGGACCCAAGAAGGATGTGAAGGGAAAAATTGGAGCTCACAGAGAAAGTGAAGAGACAGACCTCAATGCAGAAAATGGAAAGGGCAATCTCCACTTTCTTCTTGGCTACTGGCAGGTGGTGTGAGAAAGGGAGATCAAATCTATAGAGACACAGTGAAAGCAAGCAATTCCAGAGGCCTTTAGGGAGAAATGCACCAGTGGAATGGAGCAATGGATGCTGTACATTACAACAGCTGGTGAGTGACTCCAGTCTAAGCAACTGCCATGTCCCCTGGAGAGAGTGCTTGCTTGGATTCCATTTTAGGGAGGGGCCAACTGAACCTGGACTCAGAGCGACTGTGAGTGGGGTTCATCTCAGGGCTGTCAGCGCTAAACTCCCATAGTGAATAGGTGAGGGACAACCACGGGAGACATACAGGGTCTGGGAGCCATGGTCAGGCCAGCAAGACACCCAGAGTGTTATAGCTAAATGAGGTGGGCTCAGTCTCATGACTGAGGTCAGGATCAGTTTTAACTTCTGTGATTTGAAAGTACCAGAACCAGCACCCCACCCCCAAGCTTGCTGGTGATTCTGGTGATTATCCGGCATGGATCTGGGCTCTGACTGACTTCTTTGTCTAGAAGGGAGAGCAGTGACACCCTGCATTAGACACTGCCACAAAACTGTAGATCCCAGAAGATCACCACAGGCTGAAAGAAACCAAAGAAATTTCTCCTTTTCTTTTTCCTTCTCTTTCCATTTTTTTCTATTTGTTTGGTTTTCTTATCTTTTTGGATTTTTTTTTCATGAGTGTGAATATTCTTTTTAGTTTTTTTAAATTTTGTTTTGCTACTGATTTTGTTTGTTCCTTCTTTCTTTCTCTCCTATTTACTTCACCAGTTTACCAAGGCTTGGGTAATCTTCCTTTGTACTTCACCCTTGCTTCTAATCTCTTTTTCTTCTTTTGTTTCCCTACTTTTTTCTTCTTATCCCTTTTAAATTATCTCCTGTGAGGGTAAAACTGCTCAATTGAGTGGCTACTTATTGTATATAATTTTGTGATTTATCGTAGGTTTTGTCATATAACTACAAATCTTATATCTGTGGTTAAAGGTAGCAAGGTATTAGTTATCACAGTTTGTAATTTTCCAATCTGTGCTTGATGGTATTGTTATTACTAATTGTACTACTTTAGTGAAGGTGATTGTTGTGATCAATTGATCTTTCTTGTATATCAATACCTAGATTGTCTAGGGGTCATAAACAATACTAAGGTCCAATACCAAAGAACTGAGTGCTAGCCTGAGCAGGCTGCAAACTTTCATCCCTAATAAACTGAAGAGGAAGGATCCTGGGACAGACTCAAAAGCCAAAAGCCAGCTACACCTAGAAAATATCTCTGACAAGTGGTCACTTCCTAAAGAAGTCTCAATACTAGTAATAAAGGTGCCTACCATAAGCAATTTATAAGCCTCAACACAGAAAACAAATAAACAAAATAATAAGAAAGAAACAAACAAACAAAAATGAGAAAACAAGAAAGAAAAGAAAATGAGAAAACACAGAAGCAAGATGCAACCCATAATCCCCAACTCATCCAAGGAAAGTCCAGGAGGCAATGAGGTGGAAGAAATCAAAAGACCCCTAGGTGAGTTTTCTGAAATGGTAGCAGTGTAAGTAACAAAACAAATAAGACTTGACAAAACCAAAACAGAAGTAATTACACAGATAATTAAAGAAATGATGACCATAATGGAGGTAATGGTTAGTGAATCTAGAGTAGATACAGATAAAAACATAGAAGAGGACCGGTGATTTAGCTCAATGATTTTGCCACCTGCTGTGCAAGCACAAGGACCAGAGTTCGATCCCCGGTACAAAAAAAAATAGAAGAGCTTAGGAAAGACATGCAAACAATGAATGCCCAAAATAGAAAAGAACTGGATTCCACAAAAAGACTCAAATAGAAATCCAGGAGATCAAAAAATGCTGCTGAAAGTATACGCAGCAGAGTTACCCAATGTGGAGAAAGAATACTAGATCTAGAAGACAAAGTTGTGGTTGGTGACCATTAAATGAAAGACTTCTCACAAATAGCAGGGGACCAAAAAAAAAATTCAACAGTTGCTAGATGATTTAAAGAAGACTAATATAAGATTAATTTGAATTAGTGAAGAATCAGAAGATAGCACAGAGTATGTATATATATATATATATATATATATATATATACACACACACACATATACACATACATATATATATATATGTAAAGGTTCACATAACTAACAGCAGAAAACTTTCCAAGCATGAAAAAAGAATCTGACATACAGATAAGTGAAGCATATAGAGCATCAAATAGACATGACCAAAGAAAAACCTACACCAAGACATAATAATCAAGATTGCAGAAATTCCACACAAGAACAGAACATTAAAAGCTGTTAGAGAAAAGAAACGAATCACCTATAAAAGAAAACCCATTAGAATCAATTTCTCAACACAAATCTTTAAGTCAAGGAGAGCTTAGAGTGAGGTGTTTCAAACCCTAAAGGAAAACAGCCTCCATCCCAGATTGATGTACCTTGCAAAATTATCTTTCAAAATTGATGGAGAAATAAAATTCTTCTATGATAAAAAACACCTAAAGAGATTAATGACCACCAAACCAGCACTCCAAAAAGTTTTGAAGGATATTCTAGAAAAAGACAATGAAGAAAACAATTCGACACATCTCAACAGAGTGAATCCACCAGGCAAGACAAGCAATTAAATTGAAGGGAAAGAAAGAGAACCAACAATAGGAAAATAATATAATGGCAAAGATAAGTTAATACCTATCAGTTATAAGTATTGATGTGAATGGTCTCAATTCACCAATCAAAAGAAACAGATTGACAGAAAGGATCAAGAAACAAGATCCAAAAATACATTGTTTACAAGAAACACATTTAACTAAAAAAGAAATTCATAGACTGGAGATTAAAGGATAGAAAACAATACTCCATGCAACAAAAACATGGAAAAAAGCAGGGGCACCTATTCTATTTGCAGACAAAGTAGGT